GTGTTGAATAGCCTTTGGTGCCTCAATCGCTAAAAGTAGAGTTCACATTAATGGTAAAAACTAATTACTCTTCACCCATACAAGGTATGTTTATAATAAAAGCATGATATCGGAGCGAATGACTAAAGTAACATTTAAGAGGAGTTTTTCCAAAATTATATGTAAACGAAAATATTTGGATTGAATTTAATGGCAAAAACGTTGGAATCAGTTGCATCAGTATGTTGCCTATGGTAAGAAAAAAAATCACGCGCTGTTGTAAACAACGTGCGACTAAAAAAGAAAAGATAAACGGGGGGGGGGGCGAAAGAAGAAATATTTTATGAGGAGATATCTTTTAAGGGTGCCCAGAGGTTTTTAAAAATGGAGTCCAAGAAGGAAAACCCTGAGGAACCATTCAACTTTTCATAACTGCACATTACCACAAGATACAGGTGTTGCAGAAAGAATACAAAAAAAAATAATGTTATCGTCTTAAGAAAAAGCCGTAAACTTTAAAAGCATATTACTATTAAATAAGCTGAAAAAAATAAAAACTTCACACCAACAGAAATTGTATTATATTTTTAAACTTATCTAGTTAATTTAGAAATGTTTTTATGCATTTTTTCCTACATACATTTATTTTAACATCTGGATACAAGTTCAACGTATTGATAAATGTAAACTCGCAATAATTATTCTATCACAAATAGTTTCAGAAAAAAATATTTAAAATTGATGAAAAAAGGCATTAATTTAGAGAGGACAGCTGTGCAAATCTCATATACAATGATGAAATTACCAACGGGAAATTTCATCATTCATAAATGTCATTGTCAATGCATATAACCCAACTTAAAAAAAAAGAACTAATATTTTTCTTTACTCCACACTTACTCCAAATTTTATTAACTTTTAGAAATTTTATTTTTTTTTTAAAATTAAAAAACTGGCTATTGCAAACATAACATACTATGTTAAACCTGTAACACCGAGATTTTAGTTTTTTAAAATAAAAAGTGGAATAAATATGAAAGGCAAAGTTTTATTTTTTAAAAATCTTAGAACTGGAAAAATTACATTGGCAGATGGTAAAATTGCCCTGTCATATCACTTAATCCAATGTGCCAGACATAGTGCATAAATTTGCTCAGACAAGAAAAAAAAATTACAAAAGAAAGCACGAGTAAACCCTTGTGAACTAATAAAATAGAAACTGAGTTGAACATTCTTTTCAATTATTTCAGTGTTATTAAAAATAGGTTACAACCCATATCAACCATTATGCATGCACTCTTCACTATTATTCTCTACCTATACATGCAAAATGAGATTATGCATTTCCGATCGTAATAAGCGACAAAAATTCACCTGTAGCATGACAGGTGCATACTCATCACGATTTATATGAATCAACCCATGGGTATTACAAAAACGCCCTTTTTTTTCTCCCCTCTCTCCTCTTTAGTAATCAAAATGACGACGTACTGATTATTTTCGGAGTGACTTTCACGTATTGGGTACACAAGAGTTGTCTGACCATCAAAAGCCATTTCCAAAGTAGTGAATGTAGTTTGTCGAGTCATTGGGTCTGTTGGGCAGCTTTTTTGCGTAATCCAGGTTATGATGGTTTAGTTTTTTCTTTCCCTCTCGTTCAGATTCTTTTTTTCTTTAAATTTTTACTTTTTAGACATTTATTACTAAAACTTAAGTTAAATTCGCTTGCTTGTGGGGTTTTAAAAAATTAAAAAATTTCATTGCGTGGTGTGATTTGTAGTAGCATTTTTAAGGAGTGCTGTTTTATAAAACAAGTTTTGTCAAGTAATAAATGCAAAAATTCAACTTCTCCAAAGCGTCAAGTGCAGAAGGGAAATAAAAGAAACAAAACTCTTTACCGCAGGGGTGCGGACGAGTAACAAAACGCTCCCTTAATTCCATTGGATAAATTATGATGATAATTAAATTATGAAAATTATCCTTATATTAGGGGGACCGGAAAGTAATGTCGTTTTCGGGGAATTTGATATTTGTTATTAAGATTTTATTTTTAACCATAATGTATTGGTTTTTGGGTCTAACGAATATTTAATGCCCCGAAACGACATTGCTTTCCGGTTCGTTTAATAGTAAAACATAAATTTCTAGAGAAAGTGTTCTTAAAAATTGATAGTAAAAATAATATAGAATACAAATCAAAATATGAATTAGCAGCAATAAAATTTTCTTAAAATAAATTGAACTGTGCAAATATGCAATTTGGAAAGTATTACAAAAATCCGATATTGCGGTCTTTTACCCCCTTTTTAGGGTTTTTTTTGTTTTAATTTTTCTTAACAGCGTTTGAATTATTGTTATTATTTTAATTTTTAAGGTTGCTTTGATTTGCACTATTATCTATTAAATTAATAAAATATTTCGTATGATATCATAAAACCTTAATGCATTAACTACATAGATTAAATTACACATGTGTAATTTAATTTATGCAGTTAATGGTATTTGGCTGGCACGGTTTAAGTTTATACATTTCATCAAAGTATTTTAAACAATACTCTATAAGAAATAAAAATAAAACTTAAATTTTTAAACTACTTGGATAACGAAGTAATTAAAAAAAGAACAAGGACAAATAAAATAAAGTTTTAGCCAGGGAAAATTTTGAACTTGGAACCCCACAATTGAAAATTAAACTTTAACTCTATGTTAACTATAATTTTTTCCCCTTTAATATAGAATAAAGAATGACTCAGGTAGCCGTATAAGTAGATAAGCTCCCCATTTAATTTTAGAAATAAAACTTTCGGATTTTTCAAGGAATTTTGAATTTCAACATAATCCCATACCACATTTTATTCATACAATGCTGCAAATTTCCATTGGGGAACTTTTTTTTATTTTTATTTCTGATATTAAACATTGGATTTAGAGAACAAAAAAGTCACTAAAAAGGCTAATTTTTTTTTCCCCACAGAAATTCGAATATTTATACAGTAAGCGAGTGTAGAATTATTCAACTTAAATCGCAGTTATTGATTATTGTTGTTGACAATTTTATGACTGGTTATAAAGTTATAGGAACTTTCTAGGTTTTTGTTTCTTAAAAAAAATATAATTTTTAAGGACTATTCCCAGATCTTTCAAGCATAAATCAAATTCACTAGCAAATCCTGGTTTTTCCCATTCTCCTCTAACTTTGTTAACCCTGGTAGAAAGTTCGGATCTCAGTAGGGTATAAGGTAAAATATGTCTTTTCATAAACCTTGTTGTTAATCGATGTACTATGAGTTTGAATTGTTGAACCTTAGATCTAAAAAAGTGTAAAGGTATTTTAAAGATGGTGATGAAAATGCCACAAGCATAACAAATACCATTTTGGTATGAAAAAAAATGGGTTCTAACAAAAGTAGCAGTAGAGTTATAGCATCTAATCAGGTACCATTCAAGTGTTCTTCACGAGCCAGTTTTCCCATCAGTAAATACTTTAGAACAAAATAAACTTAACAAAATTGAAATTTAGAACAAATATAAAACTGTTTGCTGAGTGAAAATTGTGATGAAATAGATCGTTCTAAAGGTCTTTATTTATTTAGTCAAACCGATTCTTTAACTCACAAAATTTATTGCAACAAAAAGTAAATAAACGAATAAAAAAATGTTTACACAAATGCTGAGCCTAATTTTTAAAGATGATTTATAGATTTAAAAAGAACACTTCTTAAGTTATATAAGAAAAAAAAAACGATTTTTGCACTATTTAACTTCTATTTGTTATATTTTATATGGTATTTCAACAGCAGACGATAATTAGTAATTCTGTGATCGTTTGACAGATGGGAGATTTTTTTCATTCAATACAATAATAAAATAGTCTGTGGCATAAGGATTGTAAGCGTTGGTATAAATTCTGAAAGATTAAAAAGTTAAAAAAACTTACACCCTAATCATTAGAACTTTCAATCCTGCAAATTTAAACTATTATAACGGGTAGATAATCTAACAGAAAAAAATTATAATGACGAAATCGGTCTTTAAACAAAAACAGCTTTTAAATTATAACAATTTTCAAACATAATAACATGAAAAAATTTCGAAAAACTTATTTAACATATCTTTTTTAGGTTGTTTCGTTTCAAATTAAGAGTATTAGGCAGAATTTAGATGAAATGTATTATAACATTGTCAATCTTAATTTCATAAACTACAACCATAAATAAATATGAATTTTTTGAAACTATACTGTTAATTCAAATGCTAAGAGTATATTCAATCTATTTAATAGAAGGAAAAAAAATTGAGAGAGCTCCTATTCCTTCATTGTGCAAGCTTCTCTGCACTGATTCTAAGATAGCAATCTTTCCTGCAGTGCTAAACAAATCACATTTTTCTTCGCGGTTTTGCAGTTGGCGGGAAACGCAACTGTTTATTTTATAATTCATTGATTATGTGCTTTATAATGGGAAATTAGGAAATCAAGAAAGCACAAATATATTTAAAATAATGTATAAAGTAAAATTGATCAATCAGTTGGACATATTTAAATAATTAAGATTGACTAATCCCAAAATTATTTGTAAAAAGAATTTACCTCACTAATATTCTAAGCATATGAGTGTTATGCTTAAATAAAACTGTTTGTCAATGCATTTCAATTTCATTTACGGATAAATTATAATATTCTAATTTATAAATAGAATACAAGAATCGACTTCCAATATCAATCAAATATCCTATTGATAAGCTTTTAATGTATACGTAAAATAACAATATTCTACTCTTAAATTATACAATCCTTGCAAATCAGGAAATCATTGAAAAAGGGAAAGAAGTTAAATATCTCTTTTACCATAAAAATAATTGATTAAAGTGTGCATTACAAGACTTCAACATACTTCATGAAAAAATTATGATTAAACAGTTGTTAAAAAATACCGATTTCATGCTCAATTACCAAAAATATCAATGATATTTCAGAAGAAAAATTAAAATAATAACAATAATGATAATAAAATAAAACTCACCTGTTCAAGGACTTTTCCCGCTCGTAAGGAAAAATAAAACAAAAATCTCAATCAAGTTTCACCTGTCGAATTTCTTTCATTTATTTTTCAAACATATATAAGAAGAAACCAGATTGATAAACTCGGTTCAAAAATTCCCTTTCGCACAAAAATAAAAATTCACTGATTAAAAAAAAAAGGCTCTTCACGTGAAGCAGACAGCGCGCACCTCTAAACTCTAGCACTTTTGAAACAAGAAGCAAAAGCTAATATACCATCCAACTTCACAACACTCCACGCTTTGCAGAAATGACAACATTTGGTACACCTGCGAGCTTTGCGTTCCACGAAGATCGGTCTTGGCTGACGGAGGGGTCACATGATCAACAATTTACCCCCTTCCCCCTTTTTTTCCAATCCCTTTTGTGGGCGTTTCCCTAGATGCTGCCGTGCGCGTGCGTCATGACGTAATGGCGCGTGCGGAGTGAAAAATAGATTCTCAATCCGGTTTAATTTAATTTTTATTAAAGTATTTTTATTCTTCTTTGTTTTTTGCACTTGAAGTGGAAGAACAGGTGAAATTTTTGATATAGGGGTGGAAAATAGATTTCATTAAAGGAGGAAGAAAGAAGAAAAATCGAAAATAAACAGCAGATTCATTTTTTTAAAAAAAAATTACTACTCTTAGTAAAAATTTAAAAAAATTAAATTTGATATTAATTAGAAAATACTCTTTAGATGCATTGTATTTATTTAATTTTCGAGAATATTTTTTGTTTGTTTATTTCTGAAAATGAAACACATTTAAAATTAATATAATTAGAAATTTTCTCAACATTTGTACATTTTTGGCGAGAGAGAAAGAGTGATTCTAAGTTGAGATTTCTAACTTGTAGACTCAATATCCCCGTCTGAAATCTATGCAATTATTGAAGATGCTGATAAATAATACTGGATGTTGATAAATAATAATAACAATAAACTAAACTTATAGATTGTGTCAAAACGATTTAACAAGCACAAATTTATAAAAAAAATTGTATGTTTCTAACGTTACAGAAATAATGTTACATTTTGATAAAACCACCGAAATTTCTTTCTTCATGCATGACTTGGAATAATCAACTGCATAGTTAAAATATAGTCGAAAATTATTCTTTAACCCCTTTAACTTTTAATTTTCAGCATTTTGAAATACATAAGTTAAAAAAAAAAGTAATGCGCTAAAAAGTTATTCAAAGTAGTCCTTTTTTTAAATTTTTTTAAAATTTTTTTATTTAATGCTCGCTAAGTGGTTTGTTTATATCCCATATTGAAAACTCCGTAAGTGCTATTTCCCTACATTATTTTAAATCTATATCTCTGTGATGTCCATTAATTTATGATCTTGAGCTCGTGCCATTGCCTTTTTGTTATCATCGTTTCTGCCATACTTTTAATTTAATTTCAAATAAAATATCATTTGATTTGGTTCACTATTTCATTAGTTGTTCACCAATATGTGTTGGTTCCTCATTTTTTGAACCTGAGAGTCGTAGCTATGATCTTCTTAGTCTCAAAACGTATGCATCAAAATTTTGAAAGCTCGTATTTTTCTTTTCTCCTTTTAATTTCCTCCCATTCATTTTCTATTTTTCGAGCTTATAAATTCTCAAAATAGTAAAAGAACTTTTCTTATATTAGCAATGTAGATAATAAAGCCAAAATAATAATTTGAAAATGGAAAATATTTCCAAGATAATCTTTTCGCAATAAATATTTGATTAATTAACATTGTATGCACTTTTCATACAGAAAGTATGTACTTTTTTATGCGATATGTAAATAAAAATGCTTAAACAGAAATAAAAAGGGAAGTAAAAAATCTATTTTATCATTGATTTAAGTTAGAAAAAAATATTTTGTCATATTAGCAATTATTAAGCATTCTAAAGAAAAAAATTTTATCATTTAAATAATTTTTTACGTAATTAATAAGTTTTCAAGTGGACAATCATCATGCTCTTATAAATTTATCCATGATGTCATTGATAAGTACTAATTATTAAGCAATTAAATTGTGCATAACATATCACATCTTAGTGCATTTTTTACATAAAAAAGGGATTATCTTGCCGGATTATTATCCAAAGGTCCCGAATTATAAAGGTTATTATTCGGATGCTTGAAGCCTCCTTTGCTAGAATTAACAAAATTTGATGTTCTTTAATAGTACATTGATGGTTCAAATTTCAATTATGTCAGCTTAAGAAGAAACCATAACGCGGGGAATAACTTTTCGTCGCGAATTCTTTTTCATCTCTATGGCTGATTTAAAATTTAAAATATAGAAAAAATGACTTCGAACCAACCTAGAATAAGCCATGAAGCTTCAAGAACTGAAAATAAATTTTTAAAATATCAAAATGGTAATAAATTATGAGAACTCAAGATTTCCCAAAGGAGCAGTTTTCTTCCAAAAATTTGTTTGCACTTAGGTATTTAAAAATGTTTCTTTTTCTTTCTTTCTAGCAATTGAAACTTTACGGCTTCCTCTAGGTTTGCCTTAATTAATTTTTTCCTTCTTAAAAGTGAAAAAGATGGAAAGATGGTTAATAATTGATGTGAAAAAGAGTTGGCGACGATAAGTTTTGTGGCATGGAGTCCTCTTAAGCCTAATTGCCACCTTTAGCCACTTTCAGATTTGTTACAATATGATATGCAATGCTACAAATGAAGCTCTTATACTTCTACACGATTTCGTGACATGTTCCGGGGAGGCACTCAGATACTTCACATAGAAAAGAGGGTGCCACATTAAAAACATCGCAGCAATGAAAACTCTATCAGGTAACAAAAACTTTGATCCGATTTCAGAAACGAAAAATATGTTGATAACGATGGGGGGAAAGTTCATTCAAATGTTACTTTTCAAATCTAATGTTTCATTATACAAAAGATGCAATTACAACATGTCATTAATTATGACAGATTGCCACAAGTGTCATGGTAGGAAAAAAATTACTTTTGTCAATCACTGTGTTAAAATCCACCCATAATATGTTTCTTTTTTCTTTATTTAAAAGGAAAAAAAGAGCTTCGTTATAGAATAAAAAAAACGTTTTGCATTATTAAACGAACTAAGTTTTGGAAGCCTCGTCAAATAAATGTTCCATAAATCAAAATAGTTTATATTTTAATCAATATTTATTAAAAATGTATTATTCGGGTAATTTGATTAATAATAGTAGTTGAATTTAATTCTCACCAAATTGATCGTTTTCAGTTAAACCCAATAATGCCTACACTCGCAAAAAATCGCTTCAACATTGAAGCGTATAATATTAATACAGTGAAACCTATCAAGTTGACCTGTATTATCAAGAACTGAATTTATCCTACATAATAAAAACGAGCAATACTTTTATAATCAATACTTGTCTATCTTGTATGCACCACAAAAATGAATCAAATATGCTAAATATTATTTAATATTATAATTATAATTATTATAATTTCATTCAAATATTCTAAATATTGCAAATAAATTATTTTCACACAGAAAAAAATTGCATCAACATTAAACAATGATATCTCCTTTGTAAGTTGACCTTTATTATCTAGAACCGAATTTATCCTAACATAATAAAAAAAAGAGCAATACTTTTGTTTTATCCGATCTCTTGTCTGTCTTGTATGCACCACAGAAATAAATCAAATGTGTCAAATAAAATGTAATATTTGTAATTAAATTGACAATTTATAACATTCGCCAGAATATTACGTCAACATTGAATCATAATATTTGTACAGAAAAGCCTGTAAAGTTGATCACCTCTGTAAGATGACCTCTATTATCTAGAATGATATTCGTCCTACCTAAAGAAAGAGCTTAACTTGAACCTGACCAATTGTCTATTTTTTATGTACTACAAAAATAAATGAAAAATGTCAAATATTATATATCTGCAAATAAATAAATTATATATTTCATTAGACATTGCATGTTTTAGTTGACTTAATTTAAATAAGTGAGAGAAGGTTAAAATATATCCGATGTAGATTTAGAAACAAAGCAATCATAATATTTGTACAGATAAACCTGTGAAGTTGATCACCTCAGTAAGCTGACCTCTATTATCTAGAACCAAATTCGTCCTACCTAAAGAAAGAGCATTACTATTGAACCTGACCAATTGTCTATTTTTTATGCACTACAAGAATAAATGAAAAATGTCAAATATTATGTATCTGCAAATAAATAAATTATATATTATTAGACATTGCATGTTTTAATGGACTGAATTTTAAATAAGTGAGAGAAGGTCAAAATATATCCGATGTAGATTTAAAAACGAACACACGTAATGTACTCACACTATAAAGTACTCAATTAAGGAAAAGAATTAAAATAAAAGTAAATGAACGATGATTTGGCGAACTTAACAATTGAATGCAAACGGAGAAAACAAGTTTTTCTCATTCTCAAAATGAAAATAAATTTTAAAGTAAAAATTGTAAAAAAAGATTCACAAGTATGACTCACTTATTCTTTTATTATTATTTGTTTGTTTTTTCTTTTCTTACCGAAGTTTTACTTTTTACTTAAAAATCTTTATTTGATAGTGCTAAATGCGTCACTGTTTTTGATTTTTTATTTCGGAAAATACGTCTGAAAGCTTTTTATTTATTGATAATTGTTTTCCAGATGTTGGGACATACAAACAAGAATATTAGAATTGAGCAAAAAATTTAATGTCAAAAAATTATTAGCGATTATTATTATCAAAAAATTATTAGTGATAATTATTAGTTACTTGTGAAAGAAAAATATAATATCGCAATATGCGAGGAATCGGAGGAAAGCTTGAAAGGAAATAGAAATCAATATTGAAAATCAACGGAATCAACTATACAAGTGGTTTATTCAAAAAAGAAAGGGTGGAGCAATTATTCAATATCTTAAGCAATTATGCTTGCAAATTTAAAACTAAAATAACTCTTTTGCTGTATGGTAAAAATATATTTATTTAATGATCACATAGTGATTAAATATTAGTGCGATTATTAAGAAAAAGAAACTAAATTTTCAAGCAAATTGATTGAAAATTAGTTGAAAAACATTGTTCTCTCCATAATCCGAATACATAAATTTTCCGAAGTAGGCTCGTTCCTAATTATTTACGATAATTGAGATCCTACTGTATCATCATGTAGAAAAATTTAAAATAATAATAATTATTGTCATCATAATCATTATTGTGTTCACATTGTACAGTTCGAAATATTACACGCATTATTTAGAGTATTTTCTTTTAACAAAAGCCAAAAACTTTGTGATAATTCCATAGTTTATAAAAAGTTATTATTGCACTTAAATTAAAAACAAAATTCTAAACGAA